CAGTAAAGTGATTCAGTTATATATATGTTCTTATGCAGATTCTTTTCCATTATAGGTTATTATAAGGTATTGACTATAGCTCCCTGTGCTCTACAGTAGGTCCTTGTTGGTTATCTAGTTTATATATAGTTGTATCTGTTCATCCCAAACTCCTAATTCATCCCTCCCCCGCCTTTCTCCTTTGGTAAGCATAGTTTGTTTTCTCTGTCTGCTTCATTTGCTATGTTCATTATCATTTGTCTCCCTTGTCCTCCTAGGCAGGGATGTGTTTCCACCCCAATACCCAAACACTCCTCAAACCTTGTTCCACTATATTTCTTAGTTTCTCTTGTTTCCACAAACTTCTTCTCTGTGTTCAGCTTCTGTTTGCCAGCCTTGAATTCCCCTGAGGAAAGCTAATAACCTAATAAATGTTCAAATGTTATTGATATTACTTTATCTCATTAGGTCTTTGAAAAAGAAAAGAGACAGAGTTGGAGGAAAACACTCTTTCTCCCTCCAGAGAAATAAATAACAAGAGGTCTAGAAAGTTCTGCCCTGACCCTATTTACCTGTCCACGTCAGAATAAATGGCCTTTTATTCCTGCCAGGAGCTGTTTGCAGTCAGAGTAAGGAAGGCACCATTAAAGATTTCAAGGTTGTTCCATAAGTAGATTAAATATAAGTGCTCTCATTACTATAGCTTGAAAGAGTTGAAATTGTTTGGTGAGCAAAATGGAAGAAACTTAGCTAATGCCCTCAGTCATTTATTAGTGTGGCCAGAGTAATCTTCTTGTCTTGGATTACCTTCCTCCCCCTGCAGCAATGGAGGGAGAGATCCTCATGGCGCTGCAATTTTCCTTTCAGTGTTTGCTAAATGCTTAGAAAGCTAGACCTCCCACCATCCCAACCTGAAGCAGACAGGCCTGAAAGGACCCCTTGTGAGAAGCCAGATGTTTGGAAACAGAAGCTGTAAGGGAAAGGAGCTGTTGCATTTACCAGGAGGTGTGTCCACCAAAGGGGAGACAAGCATTTTGGTTTAGAAAAAAAATTCATTTGAAGTTGTCTGAAGGCCGCGCTCAGTTGAAAGATCAGAGCTGAAGATCTGACCATATTGGAAATTAGCATTGCTGATGATGTTTTCAGAGAATCACAGATTATTTACATCTATTTAACCTTCTCTATAAATACCCAACTCAGAGAACACTGTACTATTTTTAATAGTCTAATAATGGGTAAATGTTATTTTGAAGGCAGTAGTGACAATGCTAGTATCATTTTTTCCAAACAAGAACCATCAAACAATGGCATATTGCTTTATTCATGTCAGTTCTAATGGCATGTTACACAGTGGTAGCCGACTTTCTGAACTGTCTGCTAGAATGGAAGTCAGGACAGTATCAGTGGCTGACTGACAAGACTATTTGCTCTCTGATGACAAACTTACAGTCAAGTATTCAAATATCCAAATATCTGTGTGGACCTAGATAAACTGAACCCTGGGCACCCAAGCTTCTATAGAACACCTGATCCATATGGTTTACAAAAGGATCTCTCCACTGTCTTTGACACGGCCTCCACTTAAATCAACATGATACAGAAATCTGCAACCTTTCAAGAAGATTCCCCGAATGAGGAAGTACAAACAGTCTGTGTCCATCAATATGAGTCAGCCAATCACCTTTGTTCACCTGTGCTGCATTTCAAGTCTAAGGTCTTTTGAGAAGCAGGTTTCTTTTCCTCTGTCTCAAGCCTAACTTGTTCTCATGTTGATTGATTGATTCATTCATGAGACGTTATTAAGCATCTACTAAGTGCCAAACATTCTCTTAGACACTGAGGATACAGTGTTATGCAAAACAAACAGACTTCCTACTTTCCCAGAAGTTATCTCCTAGTGAAAGAAGATAATTAAACAGACAAGTAAACAAGAACAAAAAGGCAATAAGAGGTACAAAAAACCCACATCACACACACACACACACACACACACACACACACACCATCACCACCACCACCAGCAGCACTGCGACCACAACAACAAAATACAAGGTAACATGAAAGAGAGTGACTGGGGAGAGAGAGGGTGTTTTTAGGTCTGGTGATCAGGGAAGAAGGACCCTCTAAAGAGTGGACAATAGAACTAAGGATCCAGTGACAAAGGAAGAGAGCAGGCAAAGATCTGAGGAAAGAATGTTCCAGGCAGAAGAAATAGCGAGTGCAAAGGTATAAAAGGCTAGTGTGGCTGAATAGTAGGGAGGTAGAGGGTTGGAATTAGATTAAAAACAAAAAGGCAGATGAGAGCCGCATCGCATAAGGCTTTGGAGACACAGTAAAGAGTTTGAGTTTTACATGCAACCTACTGGACGATGACGGAAATTATTTTTCTCAGACGAGTGATATGAACTAATTTATATTCTAAATAGCTCAGTCTGGATAACATATAGAGAATGCTTTATCGGGATAAGAGTGAAGGCGGGGAGGTCTGCAGGGGGTCTATCACAGTGGCCCAGGTGAGAGATGAAGGAAGGCAGGGGGTGTTGGGGAGCCGGAGAGAATGTGGACGCTTTATCTGGGACAAAATAGGAGGCAGGAAGAGCAGACCCCAGCAGCAGAATAGAATCCTACCATTAGTCTTAGAACCTTATCTGGTCAAAGTTGAGCCCACAAGCCCTTTAGAGATCACTCAGTGGAAACCCTTCCATTTAACATGAGAAAACCTGAAAGATGGACAAATGAAGGGACACGCCCAGGGTCCCTGAGCAGGCCACTGGCAATCCCGAGACTGAGCCTCACACCTCCCGTCTTCCAGGGGCTTAAATAAGGTCAAGTCCACACAGAATGCAGCAGACCCCGGGCGGGGGCTGTGGCAGCTTGGTAGGCCCCCTTTCTACAGTTGGGCCTCCCAGTCTCTGTGGTGTGAATCCAAGCAGTGGCAAGAGCTGTGGAGTTATGCCAGGGTCCGTGGAGCCATATGTGGATCATGCCCACCCTGGAGGCTGAGTAAATAAAAATGTAAATGCCGCAATGTGACATCTAGAACAGAGACGTTAATGGCTTGGCGCCTGGCATCCAACTGAGTTCCAATCTTGGCTTTACCCATTGTTGACTGTGTGCCTTTGGATAAGTTACTTAACTCTTTGGGTCTTGGGTTTCCTCTTCAGTAAACCGGAATGAAAATCATAACTTTTCTTGGTTCTGTGAGGCCCACATAGGATAACACACTTGTACAAACAAACAAATGAAAAACTTAGACTAGTACCTGACACAGACAAATATTCAAGAAATGTTTGGCATCATTATATGGAATTCAAAACTTCTTTTAGTGGAAATGGGGCTCTTAATATTCAAAACCCTGATAAAAGTGACTCACTCTCCACCCGAAACTGTTAAGAGTGCTTCTGCCCTGCAGGTGTGTGGCTGGAACTGCATCGCTTTAACTCGGCTCTAACACTGCGGGTCACCAGCCGCCTGGCAGGAACTGTGGCCTTTAGCACAGGGACCCGATTCCTTCAGTCTTTCATTCATTTATTCCACAAATGCCTACTGAGAGCTAATGGAACTGCCTGGTGGTTCTCAGCCTTTTTTTTTTCCTTGCTTCAACTGGGTTCATTTGCTTAATTTACTCCCCTGAGTAACTTCTCTCCTTGAAATGCAGTGATCTTTCAACTGGCAGGTGAAGAGTGGCGGTGGGGAGAGTGGAGGTGAGAGTGTGGGGGGAATGAGATTCCAATCAGAATTGCAAAGGGACCACGTACAGGTTGAAACTTTCAAGAGTCTCCTGGAGGGTGATGTGTGAGGAACAGGCACATCACAGGAGGAGGAGGAGGAAACAGACGGCTGCAGGATGCTGAGCCCAGGTTGTACGTGCATTGAAAGCCATAGCCATTTTTCATCTGTTCCCTCCCCTCCACCAGCAGCTCTATGAGGTGTTAGTGTACCCATTTCACAGAAGACAAACTGAGGCTAGGAGACCTTAAGGTACTTCCCAAGTCACATGACGAGTCAGTGGAAGGCTGGGGCTGGACCCCGGGTGGCCTGACTCCTCATCAGGTTTTGTTTGTTTGTTTGGTTCCTGACGTCCTTGAGTTGTTACCGTGTGTTTGGAGGGGGAGAGGGAGGAGGGAGCTGTGATGGTAATGACTGCTGTTGCCGTGCTGGTGTGTATGTGAGACAGAGACAGAGAGGGGGACCCAAAGAAACACTCAGGACAGAGTCCGAATTAACAACCACCAATAAAAAGGCTGGCCAGCTGAGGTGAGTTTCCGTCGGGCCATCACCGACCACACAAAAGATAAAGCAGAGATGCCTGGGCCATCCTAGCACTATTCCTGTCCCGAGTGGGCTCCTGATGGGGAATGTGAAGGGAAGAGGCATGCGGGTTTCTTCCTCCTTTGCTGTGGTGTAGACCTCAGAGAGAAGGGGTCCTCAGGAAGCCAGCGTGTGGAGAGTGTCTCACCTGTGGGCACCCTGTCCATGAATTCAGTGCCAATCCCTCCAAATCGTGCTGCCTCAGGATGCCATGCTTTCAGCCCCTTGAACTTGTCAAGCTCATCTCCCTCTAGAGAGGCCCATTTGTAGACAAAGCAGACCCAGGTCACACTGAAACCTTTTCGCTTTTCAGATTTGGCTGGGGAGACTTTAAGTCACACTCCTGGGACGAGTAAGCAATCGAGTCATAATTCGTCCCTTCCCCAGTTGTCAGAGCCCGGAAAGCCTGTCTTCAGGTACCATCACCTTAGTGATTATTTATGGGTGGTGTGTGAATTTCCCAAATGGGCATCAGGCATCGCATCCAGGCATTTCCATAAAAACGAGGGCAATTTTTTCTAAGCAAACGTATACACATCTCCTTAATCTATGCAAATCTATTCATAAGGATTTTCTAAAACCACCACTTCACCCACGCACCCTGGACACACAAATTCCCAGCTCCTTTTGATTTCCCAGTTTGTTTTTAAGCACTGGGTGGAGGGAGGAGGGCGCTTGCAGATTCAAGGGGGAGATGGTGCTCCCTGGGTGATGCAGCTGGCTTGCTCAAAGCAGCCGGTCCTGCCCTTGCAGTTGGGAGCAAAGAGCCAAGTGTGGGATGGTAACCACCTCCCAAAAAGCCAGGCAGCCTTTCACCAGAGGGAAGTATCAGGTTCCTGAACTGTGGGTTGTCACTGTCTAATAATATGACCGTTTTGCCATCTCTCTGCAAATAAGGCAGAAGCTGCTACCTGATTGGTATAACATCTCACTTACCCTCCTCATTGATTTTCTTGTTCTCCTCCTTTGCTTCATAAAAAGAGGGACCAGTGGCTCGTGCTGTGGACAGAGAAGCTTGATTTTTAGTATGAGAGAGCCTCTATTTTCTTTCAGGAGAGGGAAGTTGGATGATCAATTCTTTTGTAAATGTGTATGGTGATATTTGCTCCGGTAAGTTTTATATCTCTCTTGATTTACAGCTGGCTGGGGGTGGGGTGTGTGTGCGTGTGTGTGTGCGTGTGTGTGTTTGCATAGATTTAGACTGTACAGTCACGTATCTTTCCAGATATCATTTTCTGAAATCTTTAGGGATAATGTCTTTTTATTTTCTTACTTTGCTTGCTCATATTCATCTGTCTAAGCCAGAGAGCTCTGTTGTATAAGAGTGTGATGCTTACCTTAGTTGTTGAAGGATGCGCTGGGTTTCTCTGAACATAGTAAGGAAACTATTTAAGCAAACTTACGTTTGGCTTCATAAAAATGTAATGTCATTCTGCCTCCCACCGGGAGTGTTTAATGTCTTAAGTATGTTCATTGTGCCATAATCTGCATATCATTTTAATTAAAGTTTCTTCCTCAATGTCAGAGCAAGAATTTCGTAAACTCCATAAATAGTTACCAAATATTTTGTGCTTTGCCAAGAAAGGGTGTGCTAATTTCATGAGGCCTTAAGCCAGGGTAGAATGGATGAGATGAGTTTCCTCTAAGATGAGGTACGTGCACCTTTAAAAGAACTGAATGTATGAAAAGTGTTCAGATCATTAAAGTACATCTCTAGAATTCCTTGAAAAGATCTAATCACAAGTGGCTGTTGCTTCTCTTCTGTCTTTGCACTGTGTGTTTGTGCCACCGTCTGTCAAATGCCCAGCCCTGGCTCTCATGTTTCTGTATCTGACGCTGATCAAGAAAAAGTTGCTGTTATTCAATTCAAACTAGTGCCATACCGTGATCTGCTCACCACTGCTAGTTATGATTTTTAAAGGCATTACCTGGTTAACTGCTTTTTTTCTATCATCTGTTTTTCTAGAGAGTGTTAGAGGATCTGAATTCTTTGTTGTTAATTCAGAACTCTGAGAGAAAGTCTGTCAATATAATTATCCTAGACAGAGATGATTGGATGATTAAATAATTGCTCTAATGGAAATAAACAGGTTCTCATCTTCTCTTTTTGTTACACAATCAACAAATCTGCATAGTCTTTTTCATGGTGAAATGGATTAGAGAATATATTTATAATGAAAGTTAAAGGCACCACTGAATAAGAAGCAAGAGCGGGTCTGACTATCTATTCTTCAGAGATTTTGAAAGTAAAGTTAGGAACGTCATGTGTGCCTAGACCTCTTAGGCATAGAATTCTTTTTCGGAAGAGCAATGATTCAGATCCTGAAGTAATCTAGGGGCAGCTCATGGGAACACTAGTGTCTGGGAATCTAGGAATGTGGTCCTCACGTCTGCTTCTTTTGGGCATTCTGCCCCTCACACACCCTTTGCAAGCTGGAATGGAACTACTCATTCTGACAAACAGAATTTTGAATTTTGGTTAATTGAGTTCAGCCTCAAAAATCCTCCAGTAAAAATTTAAAAGAAATAAGACTACATTTAAAGTATTCATTTGAGTGTATAGTAATAAACTATTATACATTTTTTAAAAATCTTCTAAACCCATATGAACTTACATTGCCTCTTACTGGTCACAAGAAGCATGTTCCTTATAACAGCCTTAGATGCCATAAACCCTCACGAGCACCAGGTGTTCCTTAGTTGGTAGTTTGTTGAAAAGAAAACTTCTATCCTTGGGCTGTTGGCATTTACTGCTAAGGAAACTCAAGAGCACTGAACATCTGTCTTTGTCTCCCCAAACACCCACTCCCCCAACATCCCTTAATATTTTTGTCATCTTTCTCTTTACATGGCCGTCATTAACAGGTTATGTACAAAGTCGCTAGCTGTAAACGGAGTTGATCATCCTCTGAAGCTGTTCAGTAACAGAAGTGAATGCAGATCTGGGCGGTGGGGTGGGGGGGTCACCCTGCAGGTGAAAGCACCTGTCTTGTCCTGCGGGTTGCCAGTTTACAAAACCGTTAGGGCTCCCAGCAGGCTCGCACCCACTGATATAGGAAGGGCAGTGGGGCATCTGTATCTTGGAGAGGTCAAGACCTTCTGTGTGATTTAGGATGAACGTGCCTGGTCTTGAAAGCATCCCTTTGGAAAAGTCCAGAATGCCATTACCCTCAAAACTGTTGTAGTCTCTTCAAAGGAATAAAAATCTGTGCCATGTAGGGGAGAATAACAAAGGGAATTTTGATTTCACGATGAGACCACTTATTCTTTTTAGCAAGGTGAGGAATGCAGTCGTCGTTTCCATTTAGTAAGTACCTGCTGTATGCCTGGCCCTGTGCTAAGCATTTTACGTGGCTTGTTTCCTTGAATCTTCACAGCTATCCCAGGAGGGAGATTTACAGATAAATCCCCGTTTTACAGATAAGAAAACGGAGACAGAGGGCAAGTGTGCCATTTGTTTGTGGCAACACGGTGATAATGATGAAACTCAGAGCCAGACAGGCTCATTCCAGAGTCAGGCTCTTCATCTCTCTCCTCAGCCAGGGTTTCACTTCATCAGTACAATCTACAGCCGACTCCTAGCCTGCAGTGACTTGCAGGGTGTACCATAACACACCATATTTTTTTTTACACCATATTTTCATTAGTGCTTTTCCCCCCCTCTGAAGCTACATAGCCTCCTTCTTCTCAGACTCTGCCTTTGTGACTCCAGGCTAATTATGTGTTTGTAACTAGCGAGTGTGCATTGTATTTCCACTCAACTATAAAGATGTGGATCTCACAAGAGGGAGCCAGTCTAGGGAGAGCTATATGCAGAAGTGGCTGAATTAAGGTAGCTTTTTTTAATTGATCACAAGAAATCCATCCCTTTGGTTTTCAATCTTTCGAACATAGAGTCAAAATTAAGATGTGATGATAACACCCATATCAATACCTCAAGGTATCTGGTTTATCACTGATGCAAAATATAAAAAGCAGTTGCTACTGAATTGATGTATTTGTGGAGACTTTGTAAAATTCTCACCTTTTATTTTTTACTCACCCCCAGCATGAGTTTCTCGCACTCTGTGGCCAGCTGGAAAGCACTGACGTGGCCCTTCAGGTAGAATATTGCAAAGCGCCTCTACCACCTGGGTAATGAAAAATGAAAACAGCTGCCAATAAGCATGCTGAGAAGTGTGACAAAGTTGAAACTCAGAGGCCCCAGATGCATTCTTTTGCACCTGAGCACTGAACTCTCCATTTGAAATCCATTTAAGCCAATAAAATTCAACTGGATCTTTTAGGAGGAAAATGCAACTGAGTAGAATCAATATGTTTGAAATTTCTCCTCCACTGGCAGTTTTCAGACTAGAAGCAGGGCACACCCGTCATGAGGTGAGCCTGTGAAATGCTGCATTTTCTTCCCTCAGTGAGAGAGAAAGGATTGTGAGTGATGAAAATGTTGCTAGAAGGGAGAACCTAGCTTAGGACACTTTTGCTCTATTTCACCCCAAACCAGAGGGATCTAAAAACACAGATGAACAAACAAACCAACAAAAACAACCCATCCCAAATTGGGAGGATTAAGAGTTCAGTTTTGAAGTGTTGACACAATATTGACTTCTTGGTGTGGTCTGCTGCATGTAATAGTGCTAGCTTTTGAATTACTCCTGGTGTAGAGTAAATTAAAGAGATCAGAGTGCAGTACTCAGTAAGATGTGTTTCCAAAATGATAGTCATTTTTGTCAGAGGTAAAACTTATTGACCTCTTTTCCTTGCTCTTAAAAAATAATAACTGGGGGCTCCCCTTGTGGCGCAGTGGTTGAGAGTCCGCCTGCCGATGCAGGGGACACGGGCTCGTGCCCCGGTCCGGGAAGATCCCACATGCCGCGGAGTGGCTGGGCCCGTGAGCCATGGCCGCTGAGCCTGCCTGCGTGTCCGGAGCCTGTGCTCCTCAACGGGAGAGGCCACAACAGTGAGAGGCCCGCGTACCGCAAAAAATAAATAAATAATAATAATTGGATGGTTTAATCAGAGAGTGTGGTATTAGAGCCAGTCAGGATAAAGAAATTTAAATCAATCTGCGTTTTCCACCAGCATTTATGAGAGTTTTAAATATATTAACAGTCATCAAATGAGCACTTTAAAGAAATATGTTGTACTCATCCCCAGTGTTCATGAAATATAGGCTTATCCCTTAAAACTAAGCTTAGAGACAGTTTTATAAAGCATATCATATGTCAGTCTCCATCTCCAAGATAGAGCTTTCTTCCGAGAGGAGACCAAATCCAAAATAAATCACAGTAGAGACTGTCTTTCATCTTACCTACATTTCCTGCTGCCTTTTCTTTGGCTGCGGATGTGTGTACTTAATCAAGTTGATCCTTAAGAGCTTAAAAATGATCTATTGAGTATGCAGGAATAGCATCTGGTGTTAAGACATAATGAGCGTGGGACGAGGCTTGAATTTGTCATCAAACATTCTAAGCTGGTGTACAAACAGAGCTGGTGGGCCTGTTCCATCCTTGTCTAAGAAGATGGAATCAGGGAGGATTTTGAGCCTGAAAGGAACACATGAGGCGTTCAGTCCTCTAGAAGAGGCTCCTGGTCATTGGTGTGCCTTTAAATGTTTAAAGTTTAGGGATGAGTTGAGAATGGAAGCACCTCAGTCACTACTCTGCAGACTCATGGATCTGCATAATTAATAGATTTTACAGTGATCATTTTTGAACAGATCCTAGCCAAAAGTCTTAATGGAAAATGGTTCCTGGGCAACTTCAAATGCATTCCACTACGGTTTCTGGAAAGCTTCTTCCCAACACGGGGCAATCAGTTCACTGTGGAGCTTTGGGTTGGCCAAATGTAAGGGGGTAATCATTTCATTAGAGTTTGGGGGGGGACTGGTAGGTTGGGGGTAAAATGCTTCTATTGATAATCCCCATGTGACTTCTTTAGCCCTGCTTCCAGAATCTTAAAATCCTCCCATTGATAATCCCCATGTGACTTCTTTAGCCCTGCTTCCAGAATCTTAAAATCCTCCCAAATTACCACACATTGTCTCTGAGTAGGCTTTCTGGCAAAGATATGACAAATATTTTAGACTTGTTTTATTTCTGGTAAAAAATGGC